TGGCCCTAAGTAACAGTTCTGTGGCCCTCAGTAACAATTCTGTCTGTCCCTGAGTAACAATTCTGTGGCCCTAACTAACGTTTCTGTGGCCCTAAGTAACAGTTCTGTGGCCCTCAGTAACAATTCTGTGTCTGTCCCTGAGTAACAATTCTGTGGCCCTATCTAACGTTTCTGTGGCCCTAAGTAACAATTCTCTGGCACTCAGTAACAATTCTGTCTGTCCCTGAGTAACAATTCTGTGGCCCTAACTAACATTTCTGTGGCCCTAAGTAACAGTTCTGTGGCCCTCAGTAACAATTCTGTTTCTGTCCCTGAGCAACAATTCTTTGGCCCTAACTAACGTTTCTGTGGCCCTAAGTAACAATTCTCTGGCACTCAGTAACAATTCTGTCTGTCCCTGAGTAACAATTCTGTGGCCCTAATAACGTTTCTGTGGCCCTAAGTAACAGTTATGTGGCCCTCAGCAACAATTCTGTGTCTGTCCCTGAGTAACAATTCTGTGGCCCTAACTAACGTTTCTGTGGCCCTAAGTAACAATTCTCTGGCACTCAGTAACAATTCTGTCTGTCCCTGAGTAACAATTCTGTGGCCCTAACTAGCGTTTCTTTGGCCCTAAGTAACGATTCTGTGGCCCTCATTAACAATTCTGTGTCCCTGAGTAATGCTTCTCTGTCCCTAAGTAACGTTTCTCTGTCCCCAAGTAACGTTTCTGTGGCCCTAACTCTGTCCCTAATACAGAGCGGTCTGCCTCTCTTGAATGACTGGAGGCAAATGAAGAATTCTAAAATGGCCGCTATTTATAGCTCGACCATTACACAGTGCTGGCTGGCTGGCTGCTGATTGGCTAATGCGATCACATGTCATTAAGGAATGCATTATATGGGTCAGCGCCTTGTCTGCGCGCCTTCCCAGACATCCCCGCTCCGTCGCCGCACATGTCCGCCGCCATTTTAGGAAAAATTTTCCAATATTCGACTCGAATTCCACTTCGCCTACTTCGATTCGCTCATCTCTAATGAGTACTTATACTTGTGAAAATGCTCCCGATACCTGAAACCTATACTTTCTGGGGCGATTTGTGTCCATACAAAATAACTGGACGCAAATTGCACTGCAAAGAATGGCATGTGATTGGAACAGAAATGTGGTGTGATTCCTGTACAAATCCCATGTGGTTTCCTGCACTGCTCCTGTGTGAACCCAGGCTGATATCACTATGACACGCTTGGGTTCACATAGGAACTGTGGGGAAACTGCATGCAATTTGACAGGAATCGCAACGCATTCTTGTTAAAATTTGCATGCCATTCTTTGCAGTGCGATATGTGCCCATTTATTTTGTATGCATGAAAATTGTGCTGTAAAGTATCAGTACTCATACTCGCCGATACAAAAAAAAAGTGTTGGTGCATTTTTACATTATTTATTTATTTACAACAATTTTATTTTTAAATATGTTGTACTTTTATTTTTGGGGGGGGGCTTTGGTGAGATTTCAGGGATCAAAACAGACCCCTGATGTATCTTTTTTGAGACAAAGAAAGGGACTGCAGATAGTCCCTTTCTCTGCAGCCTAAGCGCACATTACATGAATGAATGAGGAGTCTGTATAGAGACTCCTTTTTATTTATAAACTGACATAGTCAACACAGTTTGCTATGCTCAGATATCAATGTATATAGGAGCAATCAGTAGTGATCGCTAACTGTATCCATTGAAGGAAAGGGAGCAGGCTGGTACAGACATGTTTAACAAGCCCCCCGCTCTCCATCCTGACAGTTTGGAGCTGGACCCAGAGCCACAGCAGCAGCTGCAGGCGGCGGGAGGGAGAGGAGGGAACACCTGCCAGCAGCAGGGGATCGGGGAGTGGAGGACCAGCAGTGGGGGGTTGGAGTGGCAGAGGGGACATTTTTTATGTTCCAAAACCCCTGCAGCAAGCCGGTGTGAGAGGCAGAGGAAGGAAGCCAGAGGCTGCAGGGTAGCTGAAGGGGAACGGGTTTGCTGGTGGAGGGGCTGCAAATTGTGGGGGGAATTGGTGCTGGGGGGGTGGACAGTGAAGTGTGTATGGGGGGCTGGAGACAGGGAAGTAAAGGAATTGGCAGTAGTTGCAGGAAGGAGGTTACATTTGATGTGAATAGCTCTAATCAGCGGCTTGTTGGCCACTGATCAGAGCTATCTATATGTTCAGTAGAGTCTGCTGAACAGTTTTGCTATAAGCGCCTGGTCCCTGAAGGGACCAGGCGCTTATAGTAGAAGAGGACTGGAGGTTCGTACGCAGCACGGACCTGGCCTGCTTGAAGCAGTGCTGTAGGTCCGTATGCCGTACGGACCTGGCAGTGAAAGGGTTAAAGTGCATGTAATACTTGAAGTGGACCTTCATTCTCTCAATTAACATTGACTATTTTTAATCTTTATGCTACCAGAATTAGAAAATGGATTGGAAAGTATACCATATTTGATTGTTTTAATTTTTTTTTCAGTTACTTCCTGGTTTCCATGCCTAGGCAAATGATGTCATACATCCCAGAAGTCTTGAGTAGGGGAGGTGGGGCTTTCTCAGCTAAGCACAACCTCTCCTGCTTGCATGCCTGAGCGAAGAGCAGGAAGATTTCAGGAAGTAAATGGTACATGAATCACCTACCCTTACTCAAGATGGTCATGGCCAGAAATGCAAGGGGGGTGTTTTTCACAGTGTTTTCTCAACAAAAAGTTTTGCTTTGTATATTAAAAATTATTTTACCACTTGCTGCAGAATCCCATACACGTATAGTATGTGAATGGTTATACTGGGATTATGGCTGCAGCTGTTTGCCATAACCTCAGTATTGTTTTTTTCAGCCAGCGATGCTCTTTCAACCTAAATGGCTGATTAGCTGCTGGATTGGTTTTATAGGTGGCTGGAGAAGACATCCCCCCGCCAATCAACCGGCATCTGTCTGGCCTCTCCTGTGTGATTAGGGAGACTGGTATCAGATCTGTCAGTGCTGCCGGGTTATCATAGACCCGACCGAGCACCGGAAGGTCCCTGGCCATCTTTATGGTCTAGGAGGCTGGAACCGACATCATAACATCAGTTAGGGCAAATGGGTTTTTTTTGGGAAGAATGAGATCATTTTTTTTATTTCATGCTTTTCAGGGTAGAGGAGAGATCTGGGGTCTTTTAGAACCCAGCTTTTTTCATAAGGAGGACCTGTTATGCCTTATTTCTATGACAAGGTATGTTCTTGGGATAGGAAAAAAAATATTTTTTTTTTATTTTTACTATATTTCTTAAATTTTTTTAAGAAATATAGTAAAAATAAAAAAAAAATATTTTTTTTAAAGCAACCCCTGTACTTGCCAGCAGAAATAAACACATACGTAGGTCACGCATTCATATGAAAACAATATTTGCACATACGAGGTATCACTGTAAATGTTATAATGAGAGCAATAATTCTACTGCTATATACCTCCTCTCTAACTCTAAATTGGTAACCTGTAAAATTTTTTTAAAGCATCGTCTATGGAGATCTTTAAGTATTGTAGTTTGTTGTCATTTCACAAACGTGCACAATTTGAAAGTGTGACATGGTAGGTATCTATTTATTTGGCATAACATTTTTAAAAAATTGGGTTATATTTTACGTTTTTCAAAAATTCATTAAAGTGTATTTTTTCTAAAAACAATTGTGTGACAAAAAAAATTCAAAAACCACCATTTTATTCTGTAGGGACTCTGCTAAAATATATATATATATGTTTATTTGTTCTAAGTAATTTTCGATGTTGATTTTTACTTGTAAACAAAAGGTGTCAGAATAGGCCTGGTCATGAGAATTATGCTGATTGTTATTTACATCAATTATTTAGGTAAATGAGAAAAAAATATAATTTGCATAATAATTTGGAACACGGTGTATATCTTTTGGATAGGTACAAAAGTACTATTAAATACTGCAAATGTCCTGTGCGCTCTGTTTATATTACCTCAAAGAGACCAATCAGCCCTTCCAGATCTTTTCTTAGACTATACAACCCCCCTTTCTATGTTTAGAAATAAAAAGAGAGGGATATCTTTTGTAGTATGGTATAGCAAAAAACTGAGCAGGGCTGAAATCATTCCTTGTCATTTCATCTCAGAAAATGCACTATGTCATCTGCCACAAGAGGTATTTAGGATACAAGTGTATTTCTGGAAGGAACATCAGGTCTTGCAAACTCTTTTAAAGTATGAAATGTGGAGAAATGTGCATATTGCAGAGAAATAAATCTTTGTCCCTAATTAATATGTAAATTTTGGATGACCACACTTAGTAACCTGTAACATCAGCATTTGAAATTCGATTGGAAATGTAATGATAAGAACTATGTTAACATTATGACATTACAGAAGGAAATAATATCAATATTTGTGACTTCTGCTTTAACCTGATTCATACAATATTTCCATTATATTCCCAGATTTTCAGGAAAAGCACAGACAACATTTGATGGAGAAGACTGAGACTCTGGTTGAACATAGACCCCCAGGAACTACCTTGGAACCACAAAGATTCCTCATCAATGAACGTTATGTGAACCTGATTGTTGTCTCCTCTGATCAGTTCAGGCAGCGTCCCCAGAATGAACTAATACAGACTGGGGTAGAACATGAGGAATGCTTGAAGAAAACACAAACTGGACTGGAGCACATTTCCCCCAATAGGCTGTTCCGATGGAACCACCAGTCACAATGTGTACCACATGCAGTAATGGTGAGCGGAGTGCCAGGAATAGGGAAGACCACACTGATACAGAAGTGTGTGTATGACTGGGTGACCAGAAAACACCACCAGAGATTTGCCTTTGTCTTCTTCTTCAGATTCCGGGACCTTAATAGACTGGGAGAGGTCAGTTTGGAGGAGATGATTCTTAAACAATATCCGTATCTGGAGAGTCAGATTGGAAATATTTTGCAAGATCCAGAGAGACTTCTGTTTATATTTGATGGTTTAGATGAAAGTATTCACCAAATGGATTTCAGATCAAGTAAACTGTCCAATCCAAAACATAGAACACAATTTGGTGAGATTGTGGTCAGTTTGGTGAGGCAGAGTCTCTTTAAGGGTTGCTCTGTACTGATAACCAGCCGCCCAACCAGACTGGCATCAGTTGATACTGATGTTTTTCAGAGAATAGCTGAGATCACTGGATTTCTCCGTAGAGACAGACTGGTGTTCTTTAATAATTTCTTTGAAAATGAGAAATTATCAGCAAAGGCTTTTCATTATGTGCAGGAGAATGACATGCTGTACACATTCTGTTATATCCCATCATACTGCTGGATCATCTGTACAGTTTTATCAGTGTGCTTTAGAGCTCAACCAACAATCACTGATCAACTGATGACATCATTACCCAAAACAGTGACACAACTCTTTGTAACTTTTGTCTCCAACATTCTGGCCAATCACAACCAGAATAAAGATGGTGGTCACACTGCCCGAGAACTGCTGACATCTATTGGGTGGATGGCAAAACATGGAGTCATGAATCACCTGATTGTATTTGATGAGCGTCATCTGGACTCATTCAGTGTGAGAAATGATAAACATCTCTTTTCATCTTTCATGATAGAATCTGGTCAGACCCCTGATGTGGATTACACCTTCTTACATGTCACTGTTCAGGAGTTTTTTGCTGCTTTAGTCCATTTTATTAACTATAATCGTGACAGATTACAGGATACACTTGATGAGGCTAAATCTTATAAAGACGGCCGTGCTGAGATAGTTCTCCGTTTCCTCTGCGGTCTCTCAGATTCTTCCACTAGATCCATGTTAAAGTCTTATGTGGGAGAATTGTCTACTCAGGCTGCCAAACATGTTATCACCTGGATCCAGAAGGAAATCACAGAAAAAAGATCTGACAAATATACAGACAGAGACAAGAGATATCTTCTTAATGCTTTCTACTGTCTCCATGAGAGCAGGAATAAGACTCTGGTGTCACAATGTATTGGATCAAACAAAATGGACTTTTCTGATGTCCTCCTCAGCCCTCTGGACTGCTCTGTGCTGTCTTTTATTCTTCAATCCTGCAGAGATATAGAAGTAAATTTAAGTTCATGTAGAATTCAGAGTGAAGGACTGAGGAAATTTATACCGGCTCTAAAAAACATCAAGAGTTTGAGGTAAATATTAAATCTAATTAATCATATTGATGTATTACATTGGTATTTTTGGGTGTTTGTTTCCAGAGAAATTACTAATTTTTAATGTGATTTGTTTTCTGTTGTACACAGGCTGTACTTATTTATGTGAATACATCAGATAAGACTTAAAGTAGAATTAAAGAAAAATGTTTTCTTTTCTTTTTGGATAGAGTAAGGGAGGATTCTAACCCGTTTGTTCTTTGTCATCTGTGCCCCATTGGGCAGATTTCCCATCACTTCTTGTCCCATAGGCAAAATAGAAAGTTAGAGGAAATTCCTCCAAAGTGATGCAATCCCTGGCTGCCATCAGAACTTGTGTCCCTATTAGGTGTCCCCTCTACCATGTTCTAGCGACAACCTATTTTTTTTTTCACTCTTATGATAACAGTAAACAGGACAAATAGAGAGGGTTAATCTCCCTAATGGGGACACAGACAATAAGCTACAGGAACAGGACAGTGTGAGTATGTCTACATTCCCTGGGCCAAAGAAGGGAGTGGGCGGTCAGGTGCAATATGCAACTAGTTCTCCCTGGGACTACTTAATTGTAGATATCGGAATCCCTTGCTCAGGGACACCCTAAGGACAGCCAGGTGGATGAGCAGATATTCATCTGGGGACCGAGGAGGTTCACCAAAGGGGACCAAGTGCTCCTTACAGAGACAGTTTGCTGATTTTTGTCCATTTTTGCTGTGAAGTTTGTCCTCAACGTTGTACAGTTCTTTGTGCATCCCATGTACCCCTAGACCCCATCCAAGTTGTTAACCCCTAATAAAAACAACAAAACCAAGCTCAAGGACCTTTTTACTGACTGGATGAGAGTGTTGGAAAATGTGTGTTGCCTGGCTGTGCAGAGCTTAGGGGGAACCCAAAAGCTCAGTGGCCCTCGAGAGGGTAGCGCTACACAATAAAGAGAAATGAGTTCCATTCATGTAGAGAAAAGATACATTCATTCTTGGGGGGGGAAAAAATCATTTTCTTCTGGTAACATTCTTTTCTCCTTTTACAGATTGGATGGTAATCAGCTAACAGACAGTTCCTGTCCTATCCTGGCATCTGGAATAAGAAATAACCAGACACTGAGGACACTTAACCTGTCTGGCAACAATCTGGAGGGTCCTCATTTCAGTGATCTGATGTCAGCTCTGACAACAAGCCGGATAGAGGAATTACGGTGAGTATAACAGGACTGACTGACAATATTCTGGGACAGTTTATTTTTTTAATCTAAACCACACACAATATAGAAATATAAAAACGTCATCAAAATCCAACTTTAGGCTCCATAAATATTCAATCCTGGACTGTTATGTCCAAACTACATAAATCAAGTAATATTAATGTAGATACTGTATATTTCCTCTCCTTTTGTCTCTATATATAGCCAATTTCAGACAGTTCTCTAAAGCTGGATATTAAATAAAAAAATAAATATTTGCACTAAATAACTTTGTTATTCAAACTCTAATAGTGAAAATCATCTGCCAGCATGAACACCAATATAGAGTGTAAGTAAAAATAGTATAATATGCAAGATTGCAGTGCACGTATAACATTCAAATATTATAAATGTGAAAATATGCCAATAAAAGTGAGACTTCTTCACACGTAACTTCTTAGAAGTTTATATATAACAATGGTATGCAGTGCTACCCATGCAAGGGCTGCTTGTATTTTTTCCCCGGTTTCCCCTTACTTCACCCCAGAGCCAGGCACAGTGTATTTCCTCAGCCAAATACACACACTCCAATCATTTTTTATTATTATTATTATACAGTATTTATGTAGCGCTAAAATGTTTGCTCAGCGCTGTACATTATAGTTGGGGACAGAACATGAGACAATACAGTAACAAAACAAAACACGAGGGATTCAAGGGCCCTGCTGTTTCGAGCTTACAATCTAGGAGGGAGTGGATAGTGGTACAGGAGGAAGTGGCTGTGGGGGATGGAGTGGTAGGAGGAGTAGAGGAGATGGGCTGTTAGGTGAGGGTGGGGTAGGCTTCCCTGAAGAGATGGGTTTTCAGGGTGCGCCTAAAGGTGAGGAGGGTAGGTGACAGTCTGATGGATTGGGGTAGTGAGTTCCAGAGGATGGGGGAATTCCTGGAGAAGTCCTGCAGTTGGGCATGGGAGGTGGAGACCAGGGAGCTAGAAAGTAGGAGGTCTTGTGAGGAGCGAAGATTATGGGTAGGGTGGTATTTGGATATCAGGTCGGTGAGGTAGTTTGGGGCAGCATTATGAATGGCTTTGTATGTCTGTGTTAGTAGTTTGAATTTAATGCGTTGGGCAATCGGGAGCCAGTGGAGGGAATGACAGAGGGGGGTGGCAGAAGCGAAGCGGTTGGTAAGGTGGATGAGTCTGGCTGCTGAGTTCAGGATAGACTGAAGCGGGGATAGTCTACGATGAGGTAGGCCGGTGAGAAGGGAGTTGCAGTAGTCCAGTCGTGAGATAATAAGGGAGTGAACAAGTTGTTTTGTAGTGTCTGGGGTTAGAAACGTACGTATTTTGGAGATGTTGCGGAGGTGGAGCCTGCATGAGTTTGCCAACGATTGGACATGGGGTTGGAAGGACAGGTTTGAGTCTAGAGTGACACCTAGGACCTTGGCTTGTGGGGTAGGACTGATGGTGGCGTTGTTGGTCGTGATGGAGAGGGTGGGGGGGGAGGTCACGGGCTGGGGGGAAAATCAGGAGCTCGGTTTTGGAAAGGTTCAATTTGAGGAAATGGAGCGACATCCAGTCTGATATGTCGTTCAGTAGGTGGGCGATACGGGCAGAGACTGAAGGGGTGAGGCGAGGGGTGGAGAGGTAAATTTGCGTGTCATCGGCGTAGAGGTGATAGTTGAAGCCGTGGGATTTTCTTCAATGACCAGTCTAGCGGATGTTTGCTTTTGGAGTTGTATTGTAGAACTGGGGATAGGGATAGGGGATGGAGTAGGATACTCCAGAATTAGAACTATTGACACTGAGGACACCTGAATTTTTCTCTTAGTTTAGCAGTACTGAGGTCCTGACTGAAAGCAGATAGCAGACTTCTCTTTAAAGTGTAGTAATAAGTAGTTTAGGAGAGAGCAAAGTACCTTTAGCAGTAGTAGTAGTTAAAGGGCTGAGCTCCTCAGGTACGGGCTTGTTACAGTAGACTGTAGCAGTCCAGAAGTAATAGAACTGAGCAAAGTCCTTTGCAGTAGCACCCTGTGGACAAAACTCATCAGAACACCAGCCAGTGTTCCCTTTACTCAGAAGCATGCTGACTATCAAGCACCAGAGTGATAGCAAAGCACACAGAGTCCCAAAGATCTCTCAGTGTCTGTACTCACAAGTCCAAGGACAGAATGGTTGCCAATCTTCCAAGAGACTCTCTCCAGTGATACAAGACAGATCTTTGGCAGACAGCTTCCTTCAGTCAGCGTACTGTAGGACCAGGGTCACTCTCTCTAAATTCAGGCCCTCAAGTCGACCCCATGGCAGCAAGTGCCAGGTAAGTCAGCCTGCCTGCAGCCTGGCTTGGTGCAATCCACTCCAGGGAAAGACACTGAACCCATGTGCTCACAGAACACAAATACCAATCCCAGGATGCAACAGGACTACCCTCCCTTGTAATTGGCCAGGGCTGTACCCACATTCATGCTGTTCATTTGCCTAGCCCTTACTCATGGTCTGGAAGGCTTTAGAGCTTCTTGAAGGTGGGCAGAACTCAGACAAACTGAACAGCACCAAAGCATCATAAGCAGACCTAACTAATTCAACACAGGACTCTGTTAAGCAGAGAGCCCAATTAGATTTTCCTAACAGTCTTTCTGGTAAGCAGAGAAACACAGCTATGCTTAACCTAACTATACAAATCATATCACTTGACTAGGAGGGTGCCAGGTGTAATGAGACAATTTGACTGCTAACTAATGAAAATTTGTAAACGGCATATATAAAAGTAATGCAGCAATAGTAGTAAGGCTCTAACAAACAAAATCCAAATAAATAACACTAATAATAAAAAATCCTCCATCATTAGATACAATGTTCCACCATGATGTTCAAAGAAAATCTGAGTACAATTGTGTCAGTTTTAGTCAATGTATTTTCTTCAAGATGAGTGAGACTTCTGTGACCCTCAAAATGGACCATCACAACTGAATCCAAGACTTACCAGAAGGTTGGACCTTGAAGCCTAGAGGTCAGTGGTACAGCCTAGAGGTGTGTATAGTACAACAATCCCCATACAGAAATAATGAATGGATCACACCACCTAACCCACTTCTCATGCCACATTTAGTAATTGGGATCCACAAAAACAGAAAAATCTCCAACAGTGCAGACTACCAAGGTTACATATTTCATCTGAATAGGACATGCTATTCCAATGAAGTATGTAAGGAGAAGCTTTTTGACATTGGCATTATACATGGTGTTAGCCATACAGGTAGCAGTTTACTTTGCAAATTTTTTGCATATATGAAGGCTTTGAAGATGTCTTTTAATAAGAGATTTTGCAATAAAGAGAGCCTTAAGTGATTTGCACTATTGGAGTTTTTTCTTTTTTTGTGGACCCCAGTTACTAAATGTGACATCAGAAATATATGAGTTGGTATGAGCCATTCATTATTCCTGCATAGTGATTGTACCATACACACTCAGATTGATCTCTAGGCTTTGCAGTCCAACCTTCTGGTAAATCTTGGATTCAGTTGTGGTGATTCACTTTGATGGCCACAGAAGTCTCACTCATGTTGTAGAAATTTTATTGACTAAAAGCGACACAGTTGCATTTTGGGATTTCCTTTGAACATCATGGTGGAGGATTTTATCTTTTGGTGTGGAGGAGTTTTCACTATTATCACTTTTTTTTTTAATTGATGAGTCTCTCTACTATTGCTGCACTAGTTTTTATGTATGCCGTTTATAAATTCTCTTCATTAGTTACCTAGTGAAATAGTCTCATTACCATTGTTATATATACACTTATAAGGACTTTTGTGTTGAGGGGTCTCACTTTTATTGTTATATTTTTCTGTTTATAGTCTTTTAAAGTTATATACTAATGCAGCAGTCTTTTATATTATAAGCTGGCTATATACTAGAAGAACTTCATTTTGAATTTTTCATGTTATCAATGTTTGATTTATTAATTGCTAGTTGGGGTCAAACTGACATTTTTTACCCCAGTGACAAGAAAAATCAAAGGAGCAGGATGGAACATTTTTCTCAGATAATTCTAACAGTGTATGTGGTTTTCTTTCAATAAAGTCTTTCTGTTTCAAAATCAAATGTTTAAAGAAAATAGCAATTTTGAAATTATTTTGAACAGCATTTGTGAATCTGTCAGGTGTATTGAGAATTTATGTATAAATGTTTGTTTGAAATGACCAGCTTAATTCTTGACTCTTCTCACTCTGTTATCAGCCATGAAATAGACTTTTCCTGTAACCTTGTTAAAATCTGATATTCTATGAAGTCCAAAAAGTAGTAAAATATTGTAGATGAGATTATAGGAGGTCATACATGGGGAACCTGATCTTACTGCAATGACCAATCAGAGCCTCCTGTCACCTGACATGACCATCTGCTATTCATTGTAAGTTACTTCCCATGACTACAGATCTCTTAGCAGCAGAGATAACCTGAATATCAGATAAAATTCATCCCATCCAATCACTAGCAATGCTGAATTTGTCCTTACACAGTCTGCTGACACCATTCATGCTAACCACACAAGGAGATTGTAGCACAATAAGAGTCATGTATTCTGTGGTCATCCTGTGTATGGATATATCACCGTCCCTACACATGGAGAACAATATTGGGGGGTCTACTCCATTATAACATTTTTCTTATACAATTCTATTTCCTGGTGTTATACAAAGTGAAGTAACATAAATGATTCCAATAATGAGAAATGAGTTCCATTCATGTAGAGAATAGTTACATTCATTCCTGGGAAGAAATTCATTTTCTTCTGGTGACATTCTTCTCTTCTTCTAAAGATTGTATGGTAATCAGCTAAAAGACAGTTCCTGCCCCCACCTGGCATCTGGGATAAGAAATAACCAGACACTGAGGAGACTTAACCTGTCTGGCAACAATCTGGAGGGTCCTCATTTCAGTGATCTGATGTCGGCTCTGACAACAAGCCGGATAGAGGAATTACGGTGAGTACAACAGGAGTGGCTGAGACAATAATATTCTGGGACAGTTTTTTTCTTAATCTAAACCACATAAATAATATAGAAATATGAAAATGTCATCTAAATCCATCTTTAACTGCTTCCCCACCACCCTAGAGCAGAACTACTGCTACAGTATATAATCCTATACCCACAGTTGATCCAGAGGAAGCCAACCCCCCCCCCCCCAGCAAAGCATGACCCAATTTGCTCCCGCGGGGGACAAAATTCCTTCCTGATCCCCTGAGAGGCAATCGGATATTCCCTGGAACAACGTTACTTATAAATGTTAGTATTCAGTTACATTCTGTGTATCTAGGAAAGAATCCAGGCCTTTTTTAAAGCAATCCACTGAGCTGGCCAGAACCAACTCTTGAGGCAGTCTATTCCACATTTTCACAGCTCTTACTGTGAAAAAAACATTTCCATATTTAGAGATTAAATCTATTTTCCTCCAGACATAAAGGGTGCCCCCTTGTCCTCTGTGATGACCTCAGGGTGAATAACTCTACACCAAGTTCACTATATGAACCACTGATGTATTTATACATGTTGATCATATCCCCCCTTAATCTCCTCTTCTCAACAGAGAATACATTCAGTTCCTCTAATCTTTCCTCATAGCTGATCTCCTCCATGCCTCTTATCAGTTTGGTTGCCCTTCTCTGTACTTTCTCCAGTTCCCCAATGTTCTTTTTCGTGCCCAAAACGGAACTGCATATTCCAAATGATTCCAAATAATGATTTGTACAGGGGTAAATTGCAATATGTAAGACATCCTGTAAGGACGCTATTACACTGCACAGCTTGGTGTCTTCTTCAAAGACTGAAACAGTATTTTTAATCCCAGACCCTATATCGTTTATAAATTTATTAAAAAGTAAGGGTCCCAACACTGAACCTTGGGGTACACCATTGACACGACCCTAGACCATTCAGAGTATGAATCATTAACCACTACTCTCTGAATACGATCTTTTAGCCAGTTTTCTATCTATTTACATACAGATTTTTCCAAGCCTATAGACTTTACCTTACACATTACCAAACACTTTTGCAAAATCCAAGTATATCACGTCTATCGCCACCCCTTTGTCCAAGATTTTGCTCATCTCCTCATAAAAAGAAATCATATTTGTTTGACAACTTCTGTCTTTTTTTTTTTTTTTTTTTTCCAAAAAAAATAATGTTTATTGTGAAATACAGATTGACATAATAAGCTAAGATAAACATGAAATGTGAGAAAGACAATTAGCAACACACACATCCAGTCAAGAGTGCATGAAAACAAGTACAATTACAAAAACAAAGCAGTGTGGGGTAACTAAACCACGACACGGTAGTGCCTGAAATACATTAGGACGCTTGTAATGAAACGCGTTAGGCCAGGAGGCCCCAGACCTCCTCTGATAACGTCACAAAGTGTGGATCTGCAGCGGGGAGAAGAGCGCAAACGACGTCTAAGCCAGAGTCAGTGCTATAAGTTGAAAGTGGTGGAGGCGTCTGAGCGCGGATGTGAGAATGTGTGATCAAGTATACTGCTAGTATGAAAGGGGAAGTGATTCTGTCATCATAGCTAATTGTCCTTTGGGTAGTTGACCAATGCATGCAGAGGTTAGTCTGAAATGAAGAAAAGAAGCCATAGAGCGGAGAAAAACAAAAAAAGAAAGGGGGGGGGAGAGTGCAGTTGCAATCAACTCCTCCATATCCGCTATTTTTCCCACTCGGGTGAGCCAATCACGTATAGAGGGATGACGGGTGGAGCCCAACAGAACAGGAATACAAAGTCCTGGCCGCATTGACCATAATATGCATGGCCAGGGACTTGAAGTATTGTCTCCTGGGAAGGGGAGAGTGGTGAAGGAGAAATTGAGCTGGGGAAAGAACTAAGGGCAAGGTAGTCACGGACACCACAAGCCGATGAACCTCTCGCCAAAACGGTTGAAGAGCCGGGCAGGACCACCAGATGTGAAGAAACGAAACCAACGAAGTTCCGCATCTCCAACAGCTGTTGGGAAAGGAAGGATTGAAACGATGAATCCTCAAAGGGGTGTGATACCATCTAGAGGCTATTTTGTAGCTGTTTTCCTGGGTCGAGACATTACGGGAGCATTTATGAGAGTACTGAAAAATTAAATCCCAGTCGGAGTCTGATAGGTTAGTGTCTAAATCTCTATTCCAGGCCCGACAAGAGGGAAGAGAGTTGTATGTCCTGTTTTCCAGTAAAGAGGGGGTAGATCTCCGAAATCAAATGTTTACATGGTTTCTGCTTTAGCGCAAATAGACTCGAACAGGGTAAGAGGGCGGGACCAGTTCTGAGTGGGTTTATGTGATAGCAGGTAGTGTCTAATTGGAGGTATGCCCAAAAGGGGAATTCGCGGATATTCAGACTCGTAAGTAATTCTTGAAGTGTTTTCAACTTGCCATTGTGGATGAAGTGTTTCGCCAAGACCTGTTTATATGGCCAGTGTTTAGATAAAAAAATCTTGGTGCATCCCGGGGAGGAAATCAGGGTTAAGGCGGATAGAGGTTAAGGGGTTGGGTGTTTCAGAGATAGACGCGGATTTACACGCCAAACGAAACATTTTTAAGGTGGGCCCTATCAGTGGGTGAGTAAGAAGGGCCAGGAGGCGTATGTTTTGGTAAAAGCCAAGGGATTGAGGCCAGGGGGCAGGGAGGAGGAAGCACTTTCAACATATATCCAGTCCATGGAGGACGTGTGAACGTGCCAATCGACTATCCGTGCGAGGTGACATGCCCAATAGTAGCGTTGAAGGTCAGGGAACCAATACCACCCGCAAGTTTAGGGAGGATCAATTGGGAGTAGGCAATGCGCGGACGTTTATGGTTCCCATAGGAACAACGAGCACATTCTTTTGAAAGATATGAAGAAGGTCATCGGTAAACTGAATTGGTAATGTCTGGAAGAGATAATAAGAGGCGGGGTAGTATGTTCATTTTGATGATCGTTGGGCCCGACCGAACCATGAGAAGCAAGGACGATGCCACTTACTGAGATCTTCCTGCATAGAGCGAAGCGCTGGAAGGAAATTTTTTTGCATAAAGGTCACCAATGTGACGGGTAAGCTGGACACCGAGATAAGTAAAGGAATCCCTTTCCCAATGAAACGGGAAATTGGGACTCACAAAAAGAGACTAGTGCGGCTGGCAGGGTCATATTAAGGGCAGAGGACTTGGAGAAGTTAATTTTGAAATTTGACAGGAATCTAAAAAAGGCAAGGTCTTTTCAGTAGATTGGGTAAGGTAGTACGAGGGTCTGTAAGAAACAGGAGAATGTCATCCGCGTAGGCTGCTAACTTGAACTCTTTGTCTGCTATCATGACCCCCTTAATATCAGGGTTAAGATGGATTTTCCTTAGCAGCGGTTCGAGGGACAAAACAAACAAGGATGGGGATAGGGGACATCCCTGGCGGGTGCCATTTTTCAATGAAAAGGGGTTTGACAGATGGGCCGTTTAACTCGCACTTTGGGCAGATGGGTCAGAGTATAGGGCCATGATAAAGTTGAGCATCTTCTCACCCAATCCCAAGGCCACTAGAGACGCCTTTAGATAATCCCATGCAATCCTATCAAAGGCCTTCTCTGCATCCAAGGAGAGGTAAAAACCAGGATATCTAGAGCCATGGATCCAATGGTTGAGATTAAGAGCCTTAATCGTGTTGTCCCTTGCTTCTCTGCCCGGGATGAATCCAACTTTTGATCAACGTGGACCAGAGAGGGGAGCATGGGGAGAAAGCGATTAGCAATGATCTTAGCGAATAGCTTAATATCCACGTTCAGCAAGGAAATGGGTCTATAGTTGGACACCTGGGTGGTATCTTTCCCACTTTTGGGGATAAACCGTAATGTGAGCCTCCAGGAGACGGTTATGCGGTTGTGAAGGGTGGGAAAGCGTATTAAAGGCAGAAAGGAAATGGAGCTCCCAAAAATATCTAGAAAAGATTTGTAGTAAGCTGCCGTAAAAACCATCAGGGCCCGGACTCTTATTACTGACTTCATCTGTTTCACCGCGCACTGCAGTTCATTTAGGGAGACGTCTTTTTTCAAGAGCGAGAACCAGAGTACCTCGGAGAGCGGAGGGCGGTCGGACCGTGGAGATGGAGGAAATCGGAAATCAAGGACGCTCTGGATTTATCTGTGTGTATAGGGGGGCGCTCCGGAGGAAGATTGTATAAAGATTTATAAAATTTTTTCAAATTGAGCAGCAATGTTCAGGGTTAAATGTGGCACCTCAATTGCCGTCGGGGCCCCTAATTTTATGAACCGTCATGGACGATCGTTGTTCACGCAAGAGCTCTAGCTAAAAACCGTGCCGCTCTTGATTTGCGAATTCATAGTAGAGCTTCTGTGAGAGAATATATCTTTTCCTGACTACCTTACCCAGTTTCGAGAGAAGTTGTGTGCGAGCGTTCGTCAGTTCCAAGAGAGTGGAAGCGGCCAGGGTCCGCTTATGAGCTCGCTCATCCAGTGAGTGGATCCTGTCAGTAAGGAGTTTCATACGCTCTTGTTTGAGCCTTTTACGATTCGTCGCTTTAGCTATAGGAAGAATACCCCGAATCACACACATTTGTGGGCTTCCACTGCGTGCGGAGGTGAAGTATCCGCGGAGTTATTCAAAGAAGAAAATATTCAGTTAGGGAAGAGCGGATCTCTTGTTCGGTAACAATAAACGCGAGCAGGGAAGCATCTAAACGCCAAAATTTAGAGCGCGGATGTGCAATGGGGAAACTGCAATATCATGGTGATGGGGGATGGTGATCGGAGAAAGATCATTGGCTCTATGGTGGCGGCAGGTTGGAGGAAAGGGAGATCCGATTGCGACAGAAAGAAAGTAGTCTATCCTAGAGTATTTATTGTGCGGCGGAGAAAAAAAAAGTGTAGTCCTTAACAGTAGGGTAAAGGGTATGAAGCCGGAATCGTGCAACTTGCAGGTGTTGTAGCTGGATACGTATTTGTTTTAAGGGCCTTGTAGGGCAAAAATGAGCAACCTGAGG